AATCTAAACTTGTAAGATAAACAGTATTTTAATTTATGTAATTCCACCCTATATGAATAATAATATTATTCTGATTCATTATCTTCAATATTATTAATATAAAATATCAAAATCTGCTGTGCAAAGAAATTCTTAAAAGTGTGTGTGAAGTTGTTTCGTTGACACTTACTATTTTCATTTTAAACTCTTCATAATATACTTCTGGATCATCTGCTTTCATATTTGATTTTCACTGTGTATCACCTTCCCAAATAAATTCATTTAATTTTGTTGAACACTTTTTAAGAATTTAGTATTTTTCTGCATATAAAGCTAATTTTGGACTCTAGTCTGGAAATCTTCTTAAGATGTTCTTTCTGAAGTTCATATCTGTTCTTAAATTCTATTCTAATAAAATAGGATTTGCTGCTCTGATAAAATAAAATTTACGTGATTTTGCCCAGCAAGAAATTATTCGTTTCAGTTAAGGTGAAAATACTTCAGTTTCAAATTAACATATTAATTTTAAAACTGACATTCTTTGAAATAACATTTATCAGCTGCTTTTGGGTTTAATAGATACATTTTTGGTCTATTGAAGCAGCCATATTTTCTAAGAAACAACCAGCCATTTTTTCATCAATACAAACCGTAAATAAGTACCATGGAAAGCCACATGTGGGCCGTGGTGTGGACCTTTAAAGGGTAAGTATGTTTGAATATTATGATTCATAGGGTAAGCGATTCATTTAAACCATTTTCGATTTTTAACAGTTTTCATTGGAATCGTTTTGAAGAAATATATAAACAGCGTTAATTTATCTGCGATATTTTTAACATTATATTTATCATTCAAAGCAGCGGTTTCCAAACTGTTGTATGCTTATTCCTGGGATTACGCGGAAAAATAATCAGTAATGGCGGAAAATAACAGAATGGTTATATAAATGCTAATAAAAAGTAAAATGTTTAGAAAGTTTAAATTTGTGAATAGGGAAAGGAGTTGTAAAATACTCTTCGAAATGTTATATAAAAGCTGTGTTATTAAATCCAGTCACTCCTTTTACCTCTTTATGCGCCACACTTAGTCATTTCGTGCCTTCGTGAGAAGCTCGTCATCTAGCAGTCAGAAGGTCCGGAGCTTGAACACTCTCGAGAGCATTGGAGATTTTTATCTTTCATAAAAAACTAAGAGCTCTTCAACTGCCTCCAAGAACCTTAGCTTTCAGAGGTGACCAATGTCATGTCATTATAAGAAAGTCCCAAACGCTAAGGTGCTTCAAACATGTAAAAATTCTGCTATTAGAATATAAAGCAAATAAAAAGCACAGTTGACTACGGACAGTTTTATAGAATGGCTCAAGAAAATAGATAAAATCTCAAAATTTTACTTTTTATGTATCCGTTTACCGTCCATCCTCAAACTACAGATTTCTTACAAGATGTCAAAGTTTTTTTTCGTCCTGGTAAATTGCGCTAGTGTTGTACAACCTTTATATCTGGGTGTTATTAAGAATTTTAAAATGTTTTGCCGGCAGAGGTCGGTTCAAATGTCTCTCAAAATATATAACTACAGGAATTAAACAACTCTTAAGGCTATGAGTATGATTTCATTGTCTAAAGTCAAGTAAGAGCACAAACAATTAAAAATTGCTTCTTTAAAGAAGGTTTATTTTTTTTAAGCTAGAGTCAAGTAAAGTGTTGACGATGAACATTGTGATGAAACTGTGATTATGTATGAAGAAAATTGTAAACTACTGGTATGAGACATTACAGTGGGAGAAATAGGTGAGCTGTGATATCAGTGTAATGATATCGGATCTAGACACAGTTGAAGAATTCAATTAAAAATTTTTCCCAGATGAATCCATTAGTAGCGGAGATGAAAAGAATATAAAGAAATAATCCTACTTTCTTTTCAAAATGTTTTCTGTATTGACATCCACAGAAGTTTCTTTGTGTGTAATAAACACAAGTGAAAAAACAGTTCAAGAAATTTATTCTATTCATAGTGCAATGCTTAAGATTCAGAATCAAAAGATGTGTCAGGTGACAATTTAAGAGAGAACTTAAGAGATTTTCTGTAAAAAACGTTTAAATTTCTTTTAATCCTCTAACCAGCAAAGCCGTATATATATATATATATATATGGCCTGGAAAATGTTTTGTGGTATCTATTAAAACTTATATATACGTGCATATTAAAATATGTCAAAGAAATTAAGCCAATATATTAAAAGAACACAAAAATACCAGGAGAATTTTTACATTAAAATAAAAAAAATATATAATGTTTTCTCATAGTTGTTTTTGGAAAATTTGTGCTTTTTCAGCGAAACCCCTGGTCGGTCGATGTTTTGGGGAAAATATGTTACTTATTCAAGATAGTAATTCAAATAGAGCTATGACTTTTTTCTTTTCAATTTTACATAACTACGTGCAGAAATTTTCATTCTTATGATTTTAAACTATTAAATTTGTATTAAAATCATTTTTTAAATATTAATTCTAAAAGTTGTTTAAAATATTAATATTAATAAAATGTTTATTTAAAAGTGTTAATTTTAAATTTGTTAACATTTTAAACAAATTGAAAGCACGACAGTAAAATTGCCTAATACCGGTAGTAGATTAGTAGTATCAAAATTGTTTTCATTTGTACATCGTTTGTAAAATTTTACTATCGATGTCTAATGATTCAGTTTTGTATTAAAGATGTACCTTATATGATTTTATTTATACTAATTTTTACATTTAGCTGTAATAGGTACTTATGTACATATTATTATGTTAGTGTTTGTCTTACCAAGAATCAATGTGCCATAATATATATATATATATATATATATATATAAATGCATGTTCCGTAAGTTTTAAAAGTTGTATTCCTTTCTCCACAGTGCCGTAAGTTAAAAAAAATGTCAACTCATTTTATTTCTCAGCTTATTAGCTTCAGCATTCATTTAATATATTTATAGTTACTAGAGCATAGTATGGATATATGAGTCTGCAGTTTTGTCAGTATAACTTGCCATTTGTGTTTGCATAATGCATTCATAGCATGTACCATATACAGTTTTATTAATCTAATTTGTAACATGGCTGCTTCATGACTTGTAATGTATACACATTTGCACTAATTTCATATTTTCTGTACCGTATACATGTGCCCTGTTATATTGCATCCCACAATACTGTAATGAAAGTGCCTAAAATAATAGATTAGTAGATTACGTAAAATTGCAATTTTCAAAGCTTGGTATATATTATCACGCTTCTTTTTACTTTCTTGTACGATAAAAAGAAGTATTATAATCGCGAAAAGTTTCAGGCAGCATATTTCAACGAAAATATCCATTTTGACCGCTATCGAATGCAATTTAACGATGTTTTTGCGCGATATCTGTACGTGAGGACAGAATAAAATACTCTTTTCCTTCAAAAAAATTATAAAACTGCTTTAAAATTAATTCTGAAGAGAATTTTTCGTCGCGTCTGTACGAACGTATGTAGGTACGTGCATGCGTACGTACGTATCTCGCATAACTCAAAAACGAGTAGCCTCAGAACGTTGAAATCTTGTATATAGGACTGCTATAACATTTAGATGTGCACCTCGTATTTTGGTGCAATCGGCCGCACCAAACGTATATAAATATATATATATATCCACTATGTTACCCGGCTCAGTAATCTCAGTTTCTTTACTCTTATATGTTTGTAAATTGTACATTTTTTGCTTTAAAAATAATTGAATTATGTTGTTTTTATCTTCCGGTTAAGGATTTTATGCCTTTAGTAAATCTGTGTGCAATATTTTTAGAATTATCAGCAATTTTAAAGTTATTTAATTGCCGCTAAGCTTTTTTTAATGGCGGCCATTTGATGTTTACATTTGAAACAGGAGACTAGTGGATTTGTTGCCAATCTAGAGAAACTTAGCTTCGCAACAACAAAGATAACGCCTTCATTATTATTGCCAATTTAAATCATGCTTAATCCTTTCTGGAATTTTTCGAGGAAATAAGCGTTTAAAATTTACTTCGTAATTTTTAATATAGATATTTTGAGTTTTTATGTATTTTTGCCTTCTCGCGAAGTGAGAACTGAATTAATTAAATGAGAAACACTCAATCGTCTGTGAAAAACTATTTTTTTTTTTTTTTTCTTTTTTTTTGCTTAATTCTTTTATACATCATTCTAGCTTTATTATAGTATTTGAATAGAACATGTGGCAACGATTAGATAATTCTATTCTTTAAATGATATAAATTTTGTGCATTATGAGTTATAATATGAACGAAATATATGAGTTAACTGTTATATAATTATTGGATTATATAACAGTTAACTTAGTTTCCGTTATAAATTATTTATATAAGTTAACTGTTATATAATTATTAATACTGTTAAGTGAACCTAGCGCCAGAGTGTCGCTTCGCTATGGTAAACAAAAGTTAATTTTAAAGAATGCATTTCCTATTGTGGTTTATGCGCTGTCGCGCGAAGTCGAAGTAGATTTAATTCCAATAAAGTTTAGAAATGGAATTTTTCTTGCATTTCATTTAATTTAATATTCCAATACAAGGAAGTCATGTGGTGTACACATCAGATTTTTTAATTTACTCAATATAATTTAGTTCGCATTACAGCTGTTAGCACATTGTACTTTACGATGTCATAGTGCCTCCTTGCAAGTGGTAGCAACTTTCTAGTACCCCACATAAGCGGTTATCAGCATTTTTTCCTTAGTCTCAATAGCATTTTCCCTATGCTCCGTCCCTTGTTTCAATATTCCTCACTATACATAGTCAAATCCCGGAGGACGTAGCACCAAGTTATTTTTTATTTCCTAATTTGCTATCTGTTTTAATGCACCATCTGACCAGTGTTGGTATATATATATATAATTTCTCGTTATCTTGTTTACGACTGGTATTTCTGAATATAATGACTATAATTTAGAATGCATGCATGTATGTGTCAAAAGCATATACATTTTTAGGTAAAACATGTAAGACTACATTGAAAAACAACATAATTTATTACGAATATAAAAAAATTCAAAAATTGCAGCTTATATCACGTATCATCATACAAGCTTTCTAAACAAAAATAAAAATAAATATTCAAGCACGTTTAAGTACTTAAGAGCATCTGATGTTCATAAATAGGATGAAAATGGCGTTAGTAATAAATATGATGAGCATATATATGTCAAAACATTTTCTTTCTGAATGAAGAAATAAAAGGGCTGTATAGCATCTATGCAGATGCCATAAACCTCTTTCTCATGATTTGTAAGTTTAGAAAATGGAAAACATTCTGAGAACTGATAAAAAGAATTGGCAATTAGTAGAGTCCTTTAAAAAATTCACATCTTTCTTCGTGGAATTCAAAAGCTGTCAAACTCATCCTTTAAACTTCTTCGCATAAAAATTTACAAGTCTTAATATTATTTGAAACGTTTGGAACATGCTGAATTGCACCAAATATATCAAAATATGACTGTAAATGTATCAATATTGGCATGATGTGCATTAATTTCAAAACCTCTAAAATATAATTATTTGATTGATCCATTCTGAGAATTTGGTAATCCTCGTGTAAACACCCGGCTGATTGGGCAATGCACATCCAATGCCCCATGAAATGACACCAGCGAGCACCCATCTTCCGTCATCTTCTTGAATGACCATGGGACCTCCAGAATCCCCCTATGAATAAATAAAAGATGCTATATACATTGCATTCAGAGACATATTGTCAGTTAGTTTACATACGGCCATGTAAAACTCATGTAAAAATATGCATTATAAAACGTATCTTCTCAATAAATAATTTCCACTGGATGGGCTTTTTCCGTTAGGTATCGCCTTATAGGTCGGAAGCCCTCTCACTGGTGCAAAGTGCATATAGCGCAACTTTGATTGCATTAGTACAAATCATAATCAGAAAGTTAAATGCTACTTAAATCTGTACTACCATTTCAGGGCAAAAAATTATGAAAAACAGTTTAAATAATTAAGTGAAATTTTAATCTTGTTTGATTTAATTTTATGTAAAAGAAACGGCATCACGAGGGAAACTACTCAGATATTTTTTGATCGGAGTTAATATTCTGCGCAAAGGTACGAACTTAAAATGCTAACATGAAAACAGTGATAATTGCATGCATAATAATTCAGAACAATTTTCAAAATATTTTAAAAATCAAATTAGAATTAAAATATGCTAAAACTGAACTAAATTAAACAATAGCTGAAGAATATGAACGGCAGGTTTACTAGAAATTCAATTTAGAGCAAACACGTCTCGCATAATTTTTCTCTGAGAAAATTTTAAAGAATGATCGAGGAGCGAACAAACCTTAATAATTTAAAGTGTTTTGTCATTTTTTTTTAATCTGGCGTCATGTTTCGGAAAAACATTAGTAGTTTTTGCTTTGAAATGCGAAATTACAGAACACTCTCGGTTTAGTCAAGAATCAAATCGAAGTATCGTGGGATATTATAAAGTTTCATGAATTCATCTTATTTCGGACCGATGATTCTTAACATTTATTGTTCCATTCTGAGATAGAAAAATTACCTTTCCCTCTTTAGGGAAGAAATTTTCCAGAAGATTTGATCATTTGTAATAGAATTCCAAATTGTGAGTTAGGAATTTTTATTAATAGAAAATAACTTATCTTGGAAATTCTATCTTAGAGGAACTCGGCAACGTTGCAATTTATAAATCATGGAAATATCACAGCAAAAAGATTATTGTTCCTATTTTACACACGAAAATTTCGCCAGTTAGAATAAGAAGAAAATGTTTCTACTTCGACGATAAACTGTAAATAACAAACTGTGAACTGCAGAGGAAGATTGCGAACAATAGCGGGAAATAAGCTTCATAAGTCGCAATAAAATGACACAGTTTTGGTAGAATTTGGCGTAAGAATGACGGCAAATAGAAAAAAGGACTGAGATAATTTGCAGATTTGATATTAAATTTAATGTGTATGATAAAATATTAAATTAACTAAGAGAATTCATATATCCCATGAAAATGGCGAACGGAATAAATACCGTTCTAAGTTGATAAAACATTTAATTATTAGCCCGAAAGGGTGTTAGCTATTAGTCTTGAAACGTGATTTGGCGGCTTATCACTTTAAATGTCTGAATTACTTTTCAAATTGTCATCACAAAATATTACCGCCTTATATTACTTTTAAAGAAATAAAATAATGAAGAATCTGCAGGGATGTAAGTGTGTTTCTCGCATTGTGAAAAAACGACAGTATTAAGGGCCATAAAATTTTCAATAAAGATTGTCCTCCACCAAAATGTGCACTTGAATTTTGAACTTCGAATGTTATATTTCATATTTTGTAAAACTTTAATGGTTTTTTAAAACAAATTAACGATTTGAAAGCAAGAAGTAAGGTCCCAATCACATTATGTTTCGGCTACGCGGGACTTGACGTCGAAAGGGACAATTCTTAGAACCCGCACAATTCCAGGAAACACACGTAGCTAGGTTACCATTCTCACTTACTACAAAGACTTGAACGTCAAACAGTAATCGATTATCGCTAAAATCGGGATCACGTGATCCTTCAGAAGCAGAACTTAATTAATTGTCTCTACCCGGGACCCGAGACATTTTCGATGAGGTTTGAAAAAATCCCGCGTAGCCACGACATTGCTTCCGTAGCTAGACGGGACTTCGCTTCTGGCGGGGCTCTTTTTTCTACGAATCCCTCGGTTTAAATCAGTGCTAACAGAATCTCGTCTCATCTCAGAAAAGTCCCGTCTAGCCGGGGCTGTAGCCATGTGTGGATAACCTCTTAATGTGACTGGGACCTTAGAAAGGGATGTACTTTGACATAAATCACCCAAGAGTTTGGAAATTGATAAAAGTGTTGTTTCACGAACCTGGAAAGCCTTCCAGATGGCAGGTGCAGTTGTACGAAAGGTTTATAGTGATAGGCCAAGTAAACCAACAGTACTGATGACCAATATATCACAGAGATCGAAACTAGATAGCAGGCAACATTGTTCAGTAGTTGCGCACGGCAACCGACCGACCAGTGTCCCTGTTTACTACAGCCAAACGACTTCACAAAGGCAATTTTTCGCCCATCATCGTAAACACTTCCTACGTGTTTATAGCAGCTCTCCGCCAGTATCCTTTACAAGTATGCAGAGAACACAGAGACTACACACTTCATCTATGGAGATCACGTTCTTTTTACTGATGAGAGTCCTTTCAATCTGGCAAACGATTATCGACGCCATTTGATATGAAGAGAGGTAAGGACACTCTTTCATCCCGCTAACAACAGGGAAAAGCGACTGAAGGGGTGATCGTAGCGGGCTTAACAATATGCAAACACACATCAAACTAATCTGGGTGAAAGGACATGATGGCATAGAGGGTAACGAGATGGCAGACCAGTTAGCAAACGAGGCGGCATTCAACAACGACGCGCAAGAGGTGACAACTCCAATCCCGACTTCGTATTTAAAGCGAAAGCTAAGAGAACTAAGCAAAGAACAGTGGCAACAGGAGTGGGATAACTGTGATACAGGAAGAAGGACACATGGATTCTACCCAATAGTAGACAACGAACGTCTCCAGGCCATTGCACCCTTGACATACTATATCACGGGGCACGGTCCATTTCCATCCTATTTTCAAAGACATGCAATTTCGATGACAGATATATGCGTCTGCGGGGCTACTGGCTCCCCCGACCACTACATATTTGAATGCAGCCTTACATCCAACTTACACCTACCACTCCCAGCCACAAATATAGAATCATATAAACGATTCATCATTAAGCACCCACCAGCGGTCAAAAAGATCTGCCAAATAATTAGGCAGGTCAACGACCTAGGGCAAGATATCTGCCAACCAAAATAGCGTCAATTAAGGCGTCTCATAAACTAAAGCAACCACAGTCAGCTTTCACTACCAAATCATCAACAGAATTCTGACAGTCTCTTATACTGACAATCAGCTGAATGCAACTTCACAATACGTTTAAATTATGTGCTGCGCTTATAACATAACTGCACTATACACTACCAACATGTATATATAACCGCTGAAATGTCCCTACAGCGACATGAAGTACTTTTTTTTTTCTTTTTTTAAGAGACATAGGCTGCTTACTGCGTACAGTACTCACTTATGACGTATAGAGCAAACTACTGACTATGAACAGACTGTTACCTTGCATTGTGTCTCTGTAGTAGTTACCAACGACTGAAAATCTATAGAAGTATTTCCTGGAATAACCAGTGTTATTACAAACAACTGCAAGTTATATATCCAGTGTGTATAAGGTAACTGTGCGCAGAGTAATTGGAAAACGCCCTGACAAATCGTGTAACAGAACTTATCAACAGTGGACAGAGCTCAACACTGACTAATCAAGGTTACTACTTGCATGTCCATGCTAGCCATGCTTAACTGAACAGTGTAAAACAAATGTGTATCCGACTTTGCATTGGTGAACCATTCTGTAAGCATTGTGTATATAACAGCATCATGTATCTATTACAATACTAATATGCACTGTGTATTCTACAACATAGTGTTTCTCCTACAGTCTTGCCAGTACTGTATTACACAAACGCGTTATACAAACTATCTGCAATAAATATGCACCTCATTCTGCACTGAATTTGTCAAATTCTGCACAGTATCTGCTGTATATAAAGCATATAATTACTATGCAACTATCTACATTGCGTGTGCATTACCTGCATACCTTACAACCTGTTGTGTATCTGACTTTGCACTGTGCATTTGTTCTGTGAGCAATGTGTATATAAAAAGTACTGTGTACCTACTTTAATCCAATAAACACTGTGCATCTAATATAATATAAAATAAGCTCAGCGCATTCTATAACATAGTGTCTCCACTACAGTTATTGCTTGCACATCATATCTGTATTACTCAAACTATCTGTAATATATCTGCACTGTATCTGACATATGCATAATGTATAATTCATCTATATCTATCAATATTGTATCTGCATTACCTGTATAATCTCAAAGCTTCGCATAGAAATATATAGCTTGGCAACATAGCATGCATGGTGCTGCGTACTATAATTGTGTGTATACAATAATATAGATTTTTTTTTTTTAATGTGTAAGTATAATTGTGTTTATATAATTGTGCACAATTGTGTTATATACCGTAGTATAGTGTTTATTCTGCTTTTAATACGTTAGTATAATTTTGTTTGCATAATTGTACACCATAACTGTGTTTGTATATAGTAGTATAGGGTCTTATTTCGTTTGTACAATTGTGTGCAGTATAAATTCTAATATCTAATGCTTTACAGCATAGTGTATCTGTTTTTACATTGTGTATCAATTCTGTAAGCATTATGTATATAAAAAAGCGCTGCATATCTGTTCAAATTAAATAAGTATAGTGTACCTGATATAATGTATTGCATAATGTATTCTCCAGAGTAAAGTTTCATCTGTAATTACTATATCATCTAATAACAAAATTTAATATTCTACAGTGTGCCTGCATGCTTATGTATGTTTATTTGCGCATTTTACATGTGATATGTGATCTAAATGTGTCTAAATGATCTAAATGTTGTCTTTAGTGTAAGTGTATACTATATATTAGCTTAAATATGTTTCATTATAGTAGGTGTTTTACTTGTATAAGTGTGTGCAAACTAGTATCTAATTTCTATTTTTATATAATGTGCTTACATGTTTTATATGTGTTATATATGTGCTTTTATATGCGTTTTACAAGTGTTTTGTATGTATCTTTATATGTGCAATTGTATGTACTTGTATGTGTATGTAATATGCTGTAATTAGTGTCTAACAGTGTCTAAAAACCAAGATGTAACAATCATCCGCCTATCGATCAAAACTAATGTATTCCTAAGACGCCTCTGTATGGCCATGTACAATTACGTAAAATTCTTCAATAAACTCCCAAGGTGGCCTCATGAGGCTCCTGGGAGTTGCTGCCACTAGATAGGGGAGGGCGCGGGACATATGCCTGTTTACCTCTGTTAAACATCAGGCGTCCCCGTCCTCCGTCACCTGTCACCTGTATAGAGAGGCATTATGGCGAACAAAAGGACGGAGCTTCGCATTTTTGGCAGAGGTTCACTTACTGGACTCGTTAAGTGGAATGAAGTTATCCTCCATCACGTGCATCTTTTAAGGGGTCCCATTGGACCCAACTTTGTTTTTACTAGATAACAATGCACGTCCACACAGAGCTTATGCTGTCAAGAAGCTTCTAGAAAGTGAAGGTATTTAACAGAATGGATTGGCCAGAGGATCCCTTGATTTTAAAAGCCCATTGAACATATAAGGAATGCTTTAGGGAGATGCCTGGCGGCGCGATCTTACCCTTCGGACACCACCAGATACGTTTTTGAAAAATGGAGCGGTTATCCCCAAAACTTTTAGGAATCTGGTGTTAAGTATCGACAGACGGTGCAACACAACTCTTCCAACTAACTAGCTAGCGGATGTCATATCCCTACCAAGACTCTTTGGTTTATAGTTCTGTCTCTTGAGGAGACAGTTTTATGTACAGACACCCCTCTGTCAAAAGCCTTTTCCTGTTTATTCTGGTCTGTAGATGTCCTATTCATTTTTTTTGTTACTTTACTATCATTCTTTAAGTACTGTGCCTCTATAGTATAAATTTCCTGTTTCCCAGTTGATCTTTTGCCGATTTACGGCCATAGTTTTTGCATAGTGTATGTATCTGTTGTTCTTTTTCCGCTCTATGAGTGCAACTGTAATTGATGATTCTTTCCTAAAAATAAACTAGTCAAAAATAGTAAAGTATTTCCTATGCTCTCTGCACGAAGGAAAAAAACTATGAAACGCAAAAAAATATCATTCTTTAATTTTGTTTGAAACTGTATTTTTTATTCTCTTTCAAGGTAATTAAATGGATTTTTAACTGTATAATCTTTGCTGACTGGAATTAAGAGGAAGATAAAATGTCCTTACTCGCATTACAATAAATACGTATTTTGTCATCTAGAGTAAGAAAACATAATCTTCCGAACAATAAAAAAATCTGGATGACTTAGCCCTTTTTTTTTTTTTTTTTTTTTTTTTCCCTCAGATTTTTGAAACATCTGTATGAGTTGTGATACAAGTTATTTCTGTTTTTCTTTAACGAAAAAATATGTTTTGTTTTAGAGGATGACTTTCCCATTTGGTACACATGAAACTTTTTGGATGAAAGAAAGGGCATCAAGGTACAAAGTGAAAGGAGCATTTTGAAATTATAATCATAAAAAAGCACCTTTTCATAGTAATAAGGAAAACTTTGAAATTTCAGGTCCAAAAACATGTAGATCGGAGGGTCAAAATAGAAACAAGAAATTAAATTACTAGTCAAAATTTTTAAAAAAAATGATATATTCATTTAAATATTTTCATGTTAATTTTTACTTTTTTGTACGAAGTAAAGGAAGTATTGCAATCACGAAAAATTCCGGGTATCATATTTCAATGAAAATATCCATTTTGACGGCTATCAAATGCAATTTAAAGATGTTTTTGCGTGACATCTGTACGTAAGGACACAATAAAGGACTCTTTTTCCCCAAACGACTTATAAAACTGATTTAAAATGGATTGAGAAGGCAATTTTTTTTCGTGGCATCGGTACGTACGTACGTATGTATGTATGTATGTATGTATTTCGCATAACTCAAAAACGAGTAGCCTCAGAACGTTGGAATTTTGTACATAGGACTGCTATAACATGTAGTTGTGCATCTCCCTTTTTGGTCGCAAACGTATATAAAGTATTGCACCAAAAGTATATATATCCATATCTCTCTCTCTTCTATATTATATATATATCACTCTGTTAGTCGGCTCCGTGAGCTCAGTTTTTTTGGTACTTCCGTTTTGCCGGCCCAAATTTAGCCAAGTAGACTTTGTTGGCGACAGCTTGCAGTATACACAGAAAAAATGTTAACAAATGTTAGTTCTAAGAATTTTTTATTTTGAAGACGAACATTTTAATATGGTTTAAAATTTTGTAAAAAGCCAATAAATAAAGACAATTTGTAAAAAGACATTATGAATTTACTATACTTTCATGGTTCAACAGCCTGATTCGCCGTTTCGTATCACGTGACCGAAAGTTATCTCATCTCACGTAAACTACACTACAAAAATCTAATTCTCTCAGTAATTATCTACATTAATTTCAAGTTAAATCTTAATTTGAAATTCAAGTTTAAATGCAAGAATTATTTCAATTTGTACGAATAGCTTACTCAGAAATTATGTGAAATCGCAGTGTTTTACTTCGCTAGTACATTCTCATTAGAATTGATGAATTTAACCCTTGACTTTGCCTTTTCTATATTTTTTACTTCGGGTGAGCGGTGCGATTGCATCCTAATTGACGCAATTACCGCGAATGCTCTTAGGGCATAAAATTTAACTATCTTGTAAAAATTCTATGTAATTGTATGCCAGTATTGAAAGAAACAATCTGATAAGAAATGGCTGCGACTTGTTTTTAAAATGAAGCGTAAAAGGTTACCAGCGAATATATTCCGTTTGGCATCCGTTGTACCATTATTGGCGACTTTATCGTTTGCGCCGGCAAAACGGAAAAGTGCCTTTCTTTATTCTTATATGTGGGTAAATTGCTCATTTTTTGCTTTAAAAATGATTGAATTATTTTTTTTTAACTTTCGGTTAAGATTTTTATGCCTTTAGATACTCTGCATGCGATAGTTGTAGGAATCAAAGTTATGGATAGTTATGGAATCAAAAGAAAACTTTTAGTTTTGTGCACCGAAAAATTTGCCTTCTTGCCTGTTGGCCGTATTGCTTGTATTGTCCAGGAACTCTTAATTAAATTTTTTTTAAAATTATTTTAACTGTATTTGGTGTTTTATGTTTTTCTATATCTTTAAATTTTTAATGAAGCTATATTGAGTTTTTATTATTTTTGCCTTGCCGCGAAGGGAGAACTGAATTAATTGAATTAAAAATATATCTCTAATAAAATTCGAGGAAATAAATGCCAGTAACAACTTTATTCTTTTAAATCGGCTAATTCTCGAGCGCCTACCTTCAAATTACGATATTTGAAATTTCATTTTGAGTGGTTGAGTAAATAGGCCGCTATGGATTCAAACTATACTCGGGAAATTTTTATGACTTCCCTGTAGATTTTTTACTAAATCTTAGTGAATATCACAATTTTAAAACTACAAACAACAGGAAAGAAATGTTACTGATGAAAACATATTATATTAAAATTTAAACATCGTATTTAATACGAATAACAAAGAAGCTGAATTTACAGTCTGATAATATCATTGTTAATAAATGTAATTTTATTTGAGCTTAAAAAGATATCGCTGCACATATAACAAAAGCCGATTAGCAAGGTATTTTATTTGCTTACTTCACAAGAATCCTTTCCACCATCAGCATAGCCTGCACATATGAATATGTCGGGAATATCCTCTACAAAACCAGCATCCTGATACATACTTTCACATAGTTTGTTCGTAATAACTGGCAGTGAAACTTCTTGAATAACATCAGGAAGTGGACCCTCTAGAATAATAGGAAAAAATACACATGCTAAGAATTTAAATTATTGTTTAAAGAAAATTATTTCTGAATCTTAAAAGGAACGACATAATGTTTTTCATCTAGAAATATTTAAAAGCAAATATATTCTATATATTTTGTTTAAAAGATAAAAAAAATGTATTCAATAAGTAAAATTTTATTTTATTTACGGTTTTATTATTCTAGCTATCTCATCAAAATTCGTATATAAATTAGTTAAAATTATACAGCTAGGCAAAAATATATTACATGTTATAAATACCTATATTCCCATAAATGAAACAGAAATATATTGTGATCCATTTCCTCCTAGTCACTGCTTAACTTAGCGGCATGAAAAAAAGTAAGAATGCAGAATACCACTTTGGTCAGAAAATAAATCAATTTCTATTTTTTTTATTTTCCTTTAACATGTATCCTTTGAAAGGTATGTTACTATTCTAAGCACAATCAAATATTTAAAATCTACGTTGGGATATTTTATCACTTTAACATAGTTTAAGCTTAGAGAAATATATACACTGTGCCCAATAAAAATAGGACAATATATCTTCCGTTTTACTCAGCCGATTGACGAAATTCAATTTGCGTTTTTCATGTCTCAGAATCCCGACTCGGGATACATATTTGATTTATATATAGCGTTTGTTCTAGCAAATGTATTTTGACACAAAATCGGACTTTTCCTGAAATACGTGCTATTCGCAAAAATTTGGTGCGAAATTTAAGCAATAATTCAGAAATTTACCTTTACAAGTAAAAAAAGTGCGCCAAGGTAAATTTTTGAATTACTCCTTAAATTTCACACTAAAATTTTACAAAATTTGGTCTTTAGCAAAATTTGTGTCGCATAATCGAAATATGGATAAAAAAGAATTGGCATGTAAGACCAACCGGCTTCTTTGAGATCAACTACATGACCGCTCTCAAATTCTTACATCTGCGCATATCGCTCGCACACCTGTATGTGAGGCATAGTTACTGTCTACCAGAAATTCGTGAAGAATTTATGACCTGGAATCGTAATTTCTTCTCTTAAATATCCCGCCAGTTGCGTAGATCAGATGCGTTGTAGCGACAACGGTTCATTCATTGGCAGCCAAAGCCAAAGTGTAAAATTTTGCATTTTCCGTCGAAACCTGTATGCATATCAGTCTGCGTCCAATTTGCTTTATATCTTCTAGGTGCGTCGTGGCGCGTCGGTTTTTTTTTTTTTTTTTTTTTTTTTTTTTTTTTTTTAGTCCAAAGGGATTTGAATCCCGAAGGACTCTTAGTTTCGTTTTGGCATTTTACGTCGGACGGATAAATGTCGGTTCACTTTTCAAACTGTTGCCATAAAATGTTAGAGTCCTGCATTATATTTGAAGAAATTAAATAATGAAAATCTGCGTAAATGTATGTATATTTCTCACATTGTCAAAAATAACGGTACATAGAGTCATCGAATTTTGAATAACGTAATCCTCCAACGAATATGAGCATGTGGAAGACCAAATTTTAAATTTGAAATTTGTTTTATGATCGATTTCCTATTTTTTAAAACTTTGACGAATTTTTGATTAACAAACTCAAGGATTTCAAAGCGAGCAATGGCAACGTTGTGCAGAAAAAACATTTTTATCTCCAGCGCGTGAGTCTCTGTATCGGAAATTCTAAAGATATGCTCGTTTTAAAACTATTTTGCGATATTGCTGTTGCACTGGATCTTATGGTTTAAGTGCGAGGAACATGATATTTAATAAAGAAAGGTAACACACAAAATGTTAAAAAACGCCACTACTGAAATACACTATAATTAAAAATTTTGCACTTATTAATTTTTAAACATCAATAACAGTTAAAGAATAACTTTAAAACCTTATACTATTGGATTAAATAATAAAATTCTGAAAAGTATCTTATTGGCAGGTTTTACTACAGTATTTACAGTGAATGCAATTTTCCAGACATCCCTTTTCCTATAAAAACACACAACTGAAAAAACTAAAATATTAAATGTTTTAAAGACTTGTTTACATACTATGTGACTCTTAGATTTGCACTGGATTAAAATTAAATTAAAACACAACATATTCCTGCAACATGCACAAGTCTTGGAGAAGATATTAAAAAAACAGAGTTTTAAATATTATAAGGAAGAACTAGCAATAGTTTTAGATGTAACATGTTATATATTCTTTCTTTTCGTAACTCCTAATTAGCAATAAATCCATATTCTTAACAAATATCTATTAATTAAAATTTTCTTACCTTCGCGTAGCCTTCCCCATCCTGTAACAGTAGCGTACTTTCCTACGTAAGAATTGTTACCACTCGGTACACAAATAGGTAATATATTCTTTTGGAATGTTACTGGCTCGTAGAATCTCAGAAGAGCAAGATCATATTCAAAAGTCCTTCGGTCAAACTGCGGATGAGAAGCAACAATTTGTACTCTTCTTTCCACAAACGGTAAAGGTTCATTCTCATGGCTGATATCGTATTCTCCCAGTCGAAGTAAAATATCTGTCAATGGGACACTGAAACAGAAGAAAAGTTGTAAGAGGAAATAAAATGGGAGGATTACATTAAGAGCCAGCATGGATGGCTATGCTAATGAAAATCTTCTTGAGTTTATTCCGACGTACGGTAAAATGTAGCGATCTACTGAATACTTATGTTCATACGAGTAGAATACATAAAAATTATTTACTTGCTGACAGTATTTCATGCATCTCTATCACTGTTCCACGAAAATGTTACAGATAATACCTGAATCAAATATCGCGCTTTTAAAAATAAATAAATGTTACATAATTTTAGTATTAAGGTGAAAGTTACTTAAAATATTTAATCAAATAGCGTAAAATTTGGTTTACCGCAGTTTCTTCCATTGCTGGCGAATTCCACAAGATCATACTTTAAAAACTAAGTTTAAGGAAAAAAAAAATCACGATTTGTTTATAAGGCTGTTAGAACTTGTAATACAACAAAAAAGAATGCATACGAAAATGCTTGACTGAATGACAGCTATGAACATGGTCGCCGGAAGAATGGTAACGCGCATATTTGCCAGTTTGGCAATAATTTGAAAAATTTGGCTACTTTTATAAAGGTGGTTGAGTTAATACTACGTACCTAAAATTTACATAATATCAGTCGTACGTAATACAGAATTACAAATTTAGATTGAGTTTCATGTTAACCGGAATATCAGGCGATTTTTTTACCTCAAGAAGCCATAGTAAACTTACATGCTTAGATTAATATTTAAAACGTATAAGAGAATGCATTCTCTAAACTTCACAATGAAAGGAAATAAGCTTATTTAGTTTTATCTAGGAGCATGGATTTAAACTATTTAACTGCTTTCTAGCAGAATGCATTGGTATTTCTTGTTTATCTACGTTAAATCGTCTTTTATACGCGAGCACATTTTCCTCTAAAAATATATTCTAACATGCTTAGAGGGAAATTGTTTTATACGCTCAAAACATATTTTGCTATGTTTAAGAGGGTATCATGCAATGAAACGGAATTTGTTATTCACAGAAATTATTTATTTAATCAAAACATTGAAAACGTATTACGGAATAAAAATGAAAAGTACATATTTTTAGGTCTTCAGATTAACTTTTTATGCATATAAAATGAGCTATATATATTATATCAACTGCATTATACATATATAAATAATCCGTATAGATACATCAATTGTGTGATCAAACCAGAAAGGCTAAATCCTTAATTTGTTACGCTTATTGCTATTTTTCTCAGACTTATTCATTCGAAAGGCAGATTTCTAATAAATTATAACATACGACATAATTAATAACATACGACTTAAAAAACATACAAATGGTCCTATAGTCCATTATGCTGGGTTCTTTGGCACTGCCAATTAATGGAGTGTAGTATATGTATTACGCGGAAAACGCAATTTTCTAAATATTAATTAATATGAATAGTTCAAATTATAGAGCTTTTCTACATATGCATTTAGTAAATATAAATGTAACAAAAAGGTATGCTTTTTCTTAATTAATTTATCGTTTGAAATATATTGCATTGCCTGAAGCTTTCAAGTTCCAATATCTATTTTATTCGTGAACGAAGTTTTTTTCAAAAAATGAATATCATTTCAGAGATATTAACATTTATTACTTCTCTGGCGACTAAGAATAGTTTCTTTCCAGGAATATATATCAACGCTTCAGACGAGCTTACATGAATTAATATTAAATGAAAAATCTTCCTCATCATATTTAATTTCTTCTGCTACGAGTGCCAGACCATAGAATAGACAAAAAAGAAAAATGTCTAGGGCTCGTTCAAAACATCCATTTTGGAAAAAAATACCTTTTATCAAAATCTACAGATTTTTACAGGTATTTCGAGAAATAGCAAACAAAATTAATAATTTAGACTTCATTTCATTTATAGTTATTTGGAATGAACTTCTTTCCAGCAGTGGTTCCTAAACTTTTTAAGACCGCGACCCATTTTAGGTTCTCGGGCTATATTCCGACCCCAACTTCTCAGAAATCTGTATTTTATGATATGTTTTGCCCACTGTTATAAGTTTTTCAGCAGACATGAGAACACACACACACACACACACACAAAAGAAAAAAAAAAAAATTTGGTCATCCCTATTTTGTAGACCATTGCAAGCAAATGCAAGTAGTAGATGTTTACTAAATCCTGCTTTTTGCCAAGGTTACAGCAGAAACCGTTGCGGAGAAAATAACGCAAGGCGAAAACGTCGTGATGCAAAACATCGTGGGAGAAAACATCGCAAAGAGAAAAATCGCAGTTCTAAAACATCGTGATACAAAATATCGTCGTCCAAAATAAAGCGGTTCAAAAATTTCGCAGTTAAAAAACATCGTCGTCGAAAATATCGTGGTAAAAATAAAGTATCTACAAATCATTGCATGACCATAACATCGCAGACATGCTCTTTTCAGGCCTTTTAATAATTGTAAATGGATATTTCCATAATGATTTGTGAGCGCAAGATGGAAAGAAGGATAATTTTTACTTTCATATTTTTTATTAACTAATAAATTTTTGCTGAAAAAGTAAGAAGGAAATTTAAGCATAGAAAATTAAGGCAACTTATAGCGCTTAATAGAATTTTAAACTGACATATTTAACTAACAAAGGTCATTAATAAATCATTTTTATAAAGTTTTTACTGGTAATTTTTCATTAAAAGTATAATCTAAATAAATTTATAAAAAGGAAGCTATGTAACTGCATGACCTTATGTATAAAAATTGCTAATTATGGGATTATTTTCTTCACTTTTGTCAATCTAATACTCTTATAATGAAAATTATTTCTTGTTCTGCTCCAGTTTATTCTTAAGTTTTCTTCTTACTTTTTCAGCAAAAATTTATTAGTTAATAAAAATATGAAAGTAAAAATCATCTTTCTTTCCATCTCGCTCACAAATCATTATGAGATATCCATTTACAATTAATAAAGCAGGTCTGCAATGTTATCGTCCTGCGATGATTTATCCATACTTTATTTTTTACCGCGATATTTTCGACGATGTTTTTAAACTGCGAAGTTTTTGAACCGCTTTATTTTCGACGTCGATATTTTGTACCACGACGTTTTAGAACTGCGATGTTTTCTCTTTGCGATGTTTTCTCCCAAAATGTTTTTGTAGCACGACGTTTTCGCCTTGCGTTGTTTTCTCCGCGACGTTTTCGCCCGCGATGATTTTGCCGCGATGTTATCGGCGGACACCTTTTGCCAATCCCCTTTGCAGAAAATATTTTTGACAATTTATTTAAATACGATAACAAGTGAAGAAATTTATTTTCAGAAATAGAAACGGAGGCATTAAATGTGTCTAAAATAAAAGCTTATTCTATTTTAGAAAAAGATCTCTGAAAAAGGAAAGAATTTTTTATGATCTTCATCATGATGAAGATGTGGGTTCGGTTCATGTGGTCAGGATTAAGAAACCTGCATGTCTAGGACACATGCGCAAACATTTATATTTTATTTATGATAAAAATATTTTCAATTAAAACTTCGTTCCAAAAGTTACAAAGACACAGATGAGAGTTTCAAAATGTTTTATACCGACTTAGCTGAAAACGTATCAATTAGATCTGAACAAACCAAAATGCTAATAATAATGTCCAGTGTTGCCTCCTACGCGGCAATATAAGTTATGTACAGCGCATTGTTTCTGCGCAACTTCAAAGTTATGTACAGCGCATTGTTTCTGCTCAATTTTAGTTAGTTAAGATTCGAACTCCTAGCGTAGCATACATGTTTTTGATCCCATATGGTCGGGAATTTATCATTTTCGATTTAGATTTTTTAGTTATGATACAGTCTACGAAATAAAGTTGTTGTGTAAAGTTATCTTTAGTATAGAGTCTAACCAGCGACCTCAAAACATTGGTCAACTTCGAGCCCGAGATAAATAGAATAGAAAATGGCTAATGAAAACATAACTACGTTGAACAGAAAACGTGGTGGAATTAGAACACAAATAACGAAATTAAAGTCGTCTGTCAGTGGAAAAAGTGATGATTTTGGTTTTGAACAAATAGAAGTATTGCAAGAAAAAGTTCACAAGTTAAATAAACAAATTGATGAACTTCGCTTGGATTATTACAAAGTGTGCAAAGATGAAGAAATATCAGACATCGAAGCTACTTTTGAAGAAATCGAGATGGATATTACCGATGTTCAGGTAAGCCTGAAATGTCTTTATACTTCATTATGTAATAAGAATGCAAATGATGAGTATGCAAATAATAGTTTACCAGAGACAAGAAGTAATTCATTGAATTATAAATTGCGTGAAATAACATTACCTAAATTTTCTGCCAATTTTGAAAACTGGAATTCATTTAAAAACCAATTTGTAGCTTTAATTTCATCTAATAGACAATTAACAGATTCTCAGAAATTGTTTTATTTACAATCTTGTTTAATTGGTGATGCAAAGCAGATACAAACAATAGATGATACATTTTCTTCCTTATTTAAGGCACTTGAAGAAAGATATGATAATAAGAGATTGGTTGTAAATTCTCATATCAATGAATTACTTTCTATTGAAAAAATAGTTCATGAAAATCCTAAAGATTTACGCTCATTAATTGATAAAGTTCAGAAACATTTAAGAGCATTAAAAGTTATGAAATTAAATATGGATAAATTAAGCGAAGCTTTGCTGATTAATATTATTCTCAATAAAATAGATAAAGAATCGTGTAAGCAATTTGAAATGTCATTAAATAGTAATGATTTATGTGAATGGGATTCTTTCATGACATCTCTTCAAAAGCGATGCCAGATGTTAGAAAATATGCAAAACAAAACATTCCTCCAAATAAAGTTCGATCGTTAGTGTCAAAAACTAATTATAATAATAAATTTATGTGTCCCGGTTTGCAAAGATAATCACGCAATTTTTAAATGTGAAACATTTCTAGCATTAAATTTAATGGAACGATACGAAATGGTTAAAAAGCTTTCTTTGTGCATTAATTGTTTACAT